CTTTTACACATTGCTGACATTCACAGGGTTGTTTTCCAGTATGAGTCTTTTCATGTATTTGACTGTAACAGGAACAACTGAAGGCTTTCCCACATTGTTTGCATTTATAATGTTTCTCTCCAGTGTAAGTTCTTTCATGTCTTTGAAATGGTCTGTGAAAATTGAATATGTGGGTCTTTCCCACATATCTTACATTTATGAGGCCTATCTCCACTGTGTAAAGCTTCTGAGATGATTAAGTGCTTTCTCACATTCCTTTTAGTCACTAAGTTTCTTTCCAGGGTTAGGCCTTTAATGTATTCAAAGGAAGTGGCAGTAACTGGAGGCTTTCTCACATTGTTTATGTGTAGTGGCTTCTCTCCATATTCCTGATACTCATGTGGCTTGTGTTGAGCATGAGCTCTATGGTAGCAATTACCACGAATGACCCATGCTGACTTTTCCACACACACTGCTTTCATGTGGTTTTGCTCAAGGGAGACTTTTTTTTTTTTTTTTGAGATGGGGTTTCTTTCTTGCTGCCCAGGCTGGAGTGCAATGGCCGATCTTGGCTCACTGCAACCTCTGCTTCCCGGGTTCACGTGATTCTCCTGCCTCAGCCTCCCGAGTAGCTGGGATTACAGGCATGTGCCACCATGCCCGACTAATTTTGTATTTTTAGTAGAGACGGGGTTTCTCCATGTTGGTCAGGCTGGTCTGGAACTCCCGACCTCAGGTGATCCGCTCGCCTCGGCATCATTTTCAGGGCTGGTAGATCTTGAGGCTTGGTTAAACAGAAAGAGAAGGGTAAAGCAGAGCTTTAAGAAGCTGGGCTAAGGATTCAAGGAATTCTCCAGCTCAGATCCATCCACAGAGACTGAGAGAGGTCAATTTTTTGCTTGATTCATTTTCTCTTTTTCTTTTGTTCCTGGCATTGTCAGAACACTGGGTGAATATAAGCTAAAGGAACAGAGACTTCAGTGACTACACTGGACAAGGAACACGGTCTCTATAAATACACTTTTGAAAGTTACCAAACAAATAAACAATTACAGCCTGCAGCAAACATAAAGAGCATAAAAAGGAAGGGGGAGAATTTGATTTACAGAGTTACTCTTATTATGATATTCAAATGTCTACTTTTAACCTTTATTTTAGGTTCCAGGGTACATAGGCAGTTTTTTTTTTATATAGATAAACTTGTGTCACGGGAGTTCGATGTACAGATTATTTCATCACCTGGGTACTAAGCATGATACCTGATAGTTATTTTTTTCTGATCCTTTTCCTTCTCTCACCCTTAAGTAGGCCCCAGTGTCTGTTGTTCCTCTCTTTGTGTTCACATATTCCCATTATGTAACTCCCACTTATAAGTGAGAACATGTGATATTTGGTTTTCTGTTCCTGTGTTAGTTAAGGATAATAGCCTCCAGCTCCATCCATGTTTCTGCAAAGACGTGATCTTGTTCTTTTTTATGGCTGCATAGTATTCCTTGGTGTATATGTGCCAAATGTTCTTTATTCGGTCTACTGTTAATAGGCATTTAGGTTGATTTCATATATTTGCTATTGTCAATAGTGCTGCAGTGAACATAGGTGTGTATGTGTCTTTATGGTAAAATAATTCATATCCTTTGGGTATATACCCAGTAATTGGATTGCTGGGTCAAATGATAATTCAGTTTTTAGTACTTTGAGGAATCACCACTCTGCTTTCCACAATGGTTGAACTAACTTAAACTTCCACCAGCAGAGTATAAGCATTCCCTTTTCTCGACAACCTTGCCAGCATCTGTTATTTTTTGACTTTTTATTAATAGTCATTCTGATTGGTGTGAAATGGTATCTCATTGTGGTTTTGATGTGCATTTCTCTAATGATTAGTGATACTGGGCATTTTTTTTTTTCATTTGCTTGTTGGTTACATGCATGTCTTCTTTTGAAAAGTGTCTTTAATCCATCTTGAGTTGATTTTTGTATATAATTTAAGAAAGGGGTTCAGTTTCAATCTTTTGCATATGGCTAGCCAGTTATCCCAGCACCATTGATGAGTACTTCCCCACTGCTTGTTTTTGTCAGCTTTGTGAAAGATCAGATGGTTGTAGGTGTGCAGCATTATTTCTAGGCTCTGTATTCTGTTCCATTGGTAATGTGTCAGTTTTTGTAAAAGTACCATGCTATTTTGATTACCGTAGCTCTGTAGTATATAGTTTGAAGTCTGGTAGCATGATGCCTCCAGCTTGTTCTTTTTGCTTAGGATTGCCTTGATTATTTGGGAATTTTTAAGTTATTTTTCCTCAAGAACCAACTCTTGCATTTGCTGATCCTTTTTTTTTTTTTTTTTTGTATCTCAATTTCCTTCAGTTTAGCTCTGATTTTGGTCATTTTAGTTCTGATTTTGGTCATTTCTCGTCTTTTGCTAGCTTTGGAATTGGTTTGCTCTTGCTTCTCTGGTTCTTCTAGTTGTGATCTTTCACAGCTTCCTCTAGTTCTTCTAGTTCAGATCTTTCTTTTTGATTTGGGCAGTTAGTGCTATAAATTTCCATCTTAACACTTCTTTAGCTATGTCCCAGAGATTCTGGTATGTTGTTATCTTTCTTCTCCGTTTTGAAGAATTTCTTAATTTTGGCGTTAATTTCATTATTTACTCAGAAGTCATTCCGAACCAGGCCATTTAATTTTCACATAATTGTATGGTTTGGGGAGATTTTCTTAGTCTTGATTTCTATTTTTATTGCACTGTGGTCTGAGAGTGCAGCTGGTATGATTTTGTTTGCTTGTTTTTTTAATTTGCTGAGGGTTATTTTATGTCTGATTGTGTGACTGATTTTAGAGTATGTGCCATTTGGTGAGGAGAAGAATATATAATTTGCTGGTTTTGGGTGGAGAGTTCTGTAGATGTCTATTAGGTCCATTTGGTCAGGTGTTGGTGGAAGGCCAAGGAGGAACAAAGGCAAATGTTACATGGCGGCAGGCAAGAGAGCATGTACAGGGAAACTGTCCTTTATAAAGTCATCAGATTTCATGAGACTTATTCACTATCAGGAGAACAGTGTGGGAAAACTGCCCCCATGATTCAATTACCTCCCACTGGATCACTCCCATGACATGTGGGGATTATGGGAGCTACAATTCAAAATGAGATTTGGGTGAATAAGTCTCATGAGATATGGTGGCTTTATAAAGGGCAGTTCCCTTGCACATGCTGTCTTGCCTGCCACAGTGTAACATTGGCTTTTGCTCCTCCTTCGCCTTCCACCATGATTGTGAGGCCTCCCCAGCCATGCTGAACTGCGAGTCAATTAAACCTCTTTTTCTTCGTATTGCCTGGGTGCCAGCTCCCAGTTCATAATGTCTTTTTTTGTTCATTTTTAAATAGAGATGGAGGTTTCACCACATTGCCCAGGCTGGTCTTGAGCTCCTGAGCTCAAGCAAACCACCCACCCCAGCCTCCCAAAGTGGTGGGATTACAGGCATGAGTCATGGTGCCTGACCTCATAATGCTTTTATATCTGGTATTCTTCATAAAAATATGAAGATGAATGTTTTCAAATTCAAAGTCTAATGTCTCAGCCTTTGATTGAAGCATTTAATTCAATAACATTTAAAGGCTTGATGGAAGGAGCATTTCCACACTGTGTTTAGGAGACAGGAGGGCAAATTGAACTCCCAGAGTTAAATCCATTAGTGCCCCTGACTCATCCCCAGGTTTTGATCCACCTCAGGGCTCCATTTCAGGAATTATCATCTGGCCTCCAAGCTTTGGAATATGTTTGGCCTCCTGAAAGGGGTTGACTTGTGAACTATGGATGCACCAGGCTGCTTATCTGAGCTAGTTCAAGTTTTTGCTTTATAAAATATTGCCGCCACATAATTCCAGTTTTTCCACACATTTAACAATTTTATTTTGTTTTTATTTTTATTTTTATTTTTTTCGAGGTGGAGTCTCCCTCTGTCTCCCCCACTCTCTCACTGCAGCCTCTGCCTTCCGGGTTCAAGCGATTCTCCTGTCTCAGCCTCCTGAGTAGCTGGGGATGTGCCACCACATACGGCTAATTTTTGTATTATTGAGACAGAGCCACCATGTTGGCCAGACTGGTCTCGAATTTCTTTTTTTTTTTTTTTTTTTGAGACGGAGTCTGGCTCTGTCGCCCAGGCTGGAGTGCAGTGGCCGGATCTCAGCTCACTGCAAGCTCCGCCTCCCGGGTTTACGCCATTCTCCTGCCT